GAGGCAATGCTGCCCAGCTGTGTCCCTGCTGTTGGCCTGGGGAGGAGCCAGACCCATCTCTCCTGAGGCTTCACAGGGCCAGCAGGAATGGTTTGGGTGAGCAGGGACCTTACAGCTCATTCTGTTCCATGCCCCATCTTGGCAGGGACTCCTTCCCCAGCCTGGGCTGCTCCGAGCCCGGCCCCGCTGACGTCCTGCAGCTGGACCCTGTCTGTGCCCAGTCCGTGTCCCTGTCTGTGCCCAGTTCGTGTCCCTGTCTGTGCCCAGTCCGTGTCCCTGGGGTGCCCAGTCCATGTCCCTATCTGTGCCCAGTCCATGTCCCCGGGGTGCCCAGTCCGTGTCCCCGGGGTGCCTGGTCTGTATCCTTGTCTGTGCCCAGTCTGTGTCCCTGTCTGTGCCCAGTCCATGTCCCCAGGGTGCCCAGTCCATGTCCCCAGGGTGCCCAGTCTGTATCCTCGGAGTGCCCAGCTCACCCTCGGAGTACACATCCCATTGGGAGCTCACCTCTGGCAAAGTTCCAGCCGGCGATGTAGCAGGATTTCAGCTCCAAGACCCTGATGGAGGCGTCGGGCACGCAGCCCAGCTGGATGTAGTCACTGCACTCCACGGGCCGGTCCAGCTCCACCAGGGCGATGTCATTCCTGGCTGTGGCAGGCACGTAGTGCTGGTGCACCAGGAGCCTCTGGATGTGTCTCACCTCAGCCTCGGGGCCCGGCTGGCTCAGATCCGAAACCCCCATCACCACTTCCCACCTGGAGATGCCCCTGGGGAGCAGATGGACAGAGGGGTGACAGAGAGAAAGATGGACAGAGGGGTGACAGGGAGCAGATGGACAGAGGGGTGACAGGGAGCAGATGACAGAGGGGTGACAGGGAGCAGATGGACAGAGGGGTGACAGGGAGCAGATGACAGAGGGGTGACAGGGAGCAGATGGACAGAGGGGTGACAGAGAGAAAGATGGACAGAGGGGTGACAGGGAGCAGATGGACAGAGGGGTGACAGGGAGCAGAGCCACGGGCTGCAGCAGCCCAGCATTTCCCGGCCTTCTGCTTCCCAAGGCGGGCAGGGAAGTGGCACGTGGTGCTGTGAGCTGGGCACCTGCCCTGCCCCAGGGACATCTCTGTCCCTGCTGTTTCTTACCCGGCCCTGGCGAAGCAGTGTGCGACCGTGAGCACCCACTGGGAGCTGAGGAGGACACCCGAGCACATGTGCCACGTGCCGTTCTCCCAGGTGGCCTGGATGCTGACAATGCCGGGCCAGGCCCCTGGCTGGACACCCGTGCCAGCCACAACACGGGACAGGTCAGCAGCAGAAGTCACGGAGTCGTAGTCGAGAACTGAAGAGCTGTGGTCGGAAGCCAAGGGCCGGAGCCCGCAGGTGCCTCTGGAAGCACAGAGCCATCACTGCCCTGCTCGGGGACAGCAGGGACAGGGACCCCGAGGGGCTCCTCTGTGCCCAGGCTGTGCCAGGGAAGCCCCCGAGTGTCCCCGAGCCCCCCTGACCTGCAGGTGTCCCAGGTGGTCCACACGGGCCCGGCCAGGGCCAGCAGGACGAGCAGCCCCAGCAAAGCCATCGCTGCAGGTGGCAGAGGCGGAGCAGAACTGTCACCTCTGGTGCCACCCGCGGCCCTGGCAGTGCCCACGGTGCCACCAGGCTGGGCTGATGTCACAGACGGTCGGTTCCATGGGTCGGGGCAGCTCGGTGTCACAGAGTGGAATGTGGAATGGTCTGGGGGCAGCACCCAGAGCACCAGCATGGGGTCAGACCCGCCCGGCACCGGGCTGGGCATGAGCAGCTGGAGCAGCCCTGGGAGAAGGATTTGGGGGTGCTGGGGGTGAGAGCTCAGAGCCCTGGCAGGGCCTGGAGGGGCTCCAGGAGAGCTGCAGAGGGACTGGGGACAAGGATGGAGGGACAGGACCCAGGGAATGGCTCCCACTGCCAGAGGGCAGCCATGGATGGGAGATTGGGAATGAGGAATTCCTGGCTGGGCTGGGATTGCCAGAGCAGCTGGGGCTGCCCCTGGATCCCTGGCAGTGCCCAAGGCCAGGCTGGACACTGGGGCTGGAGCAGCCTGGGGCAGTGGGAGGTGTCCCTGCCCAAGGAATAATTCAGTAACCAGTAGAAGACAGAACGCTAATTAATGAAAGAGGTTTTAATGTCATTTAGAAGCAATGAACATTGATTTCTTTGTCGGCTCAGAATGCACAAACGGGTGACAAAGTTTTGTCCCGGGCTCTCTGTGGAGCCCCTGGGCAGGGACAGAGCAGGGCCGGGCTGACGGACGCTGGAGCAGCTCGAGTTCCGTTCCTCCCGGCGGCTCCGGGCGATTCCGGCCGCACCGGGAGCACCCCCGGCTCCCTCCCGCGGGGGACAGGGGGACCGGGCCCGGCTGAGGCGGCGCTGCCCGGGCTGGCTCGGACAGAGCCGAGGGCGCTGCGGCTGCTCCCCATCGTTACCGGGGGGTGTGGAGCGCCGGGATGCTCCTCCGGGCCGTCCCCAGAGGGGACACCCGCTTGGAGAGGGGCTGCAGGGGCTGGGGGGACCGCGGCCGCCGTGGGGACGGCACGGGAGGGGCCGCGACACCGCTCGGGCCTCTCCGGGACACCGCTCGGCCCGCTCCGGGACACCGCTCATTGCTCCGGGACACGCTCGGCCCGCTCCGGGACACCGCTCATCGCTCCGGGACACCGCTTATCGCTCCGGGACACCACTCAGCCCGCTCCGGGACACCGCTCATCGCTCCGGGACACCGCTCATCGCTCCGGGACACCGCTCATCGCTCCGGGACACCGCTCGGCCCGCTCCGGGACACCGCTCATTGCTCCGGGACACCGCTCGGCGCTCCGGGACACCGCTCGGTCCGCTCCGGGACACCGCTTATCGCTCCGGGACACCGCTCGGCGCTCCGGGACACCGCTCGGCGCTCCGGGACACCGCTCGGCCCGCTCCGCGCTCCCGGCGGAGACACCCTCGGGGTCACCTCCCTGCCGGGGCTCTGGCCCGCCCGCCGCGACCCCCGCGGATGGCGGGCACTGAGGGCGACACGGGAGGACACGGGGGGACACGGGGGGACACG